AAGAGATATAATCCCTCCATCTGGTTCTAGGTCTACCCCTTGGTCTCTTCCCAGCTGGACGTGCCTGGAACACCTCCCTAGGGAGGCGCCCAGGTGGCATCCTAACTAGGTGCCCGAACCACCTCAACTGGCTCCTTTCGACGCGAAGGAGGAGCGGCTCAACTCCGAGTCCCTCCCTGATGACCGAACTTCTCACCTTATCCCTAAGGGAGACACCAGCCACCCTGCGGAGAAAACCCATCTCGGCCGCTTGTACCCGCGATCTCGTTCTTTCGGTCATGACCCATCCTTCATGACCATAGGTGAGGGTAGGAACGAAAATGGCGCGGTAGACAGAGAGCTTTGCCTTCTGGCTCAGCTCCCTTTTCGTCACAACGGTGCGGTAAAGAGACTGCAGTACCGCTCCCGCTGCTCCGATTCTCCGACCCATCTCACGCTCCATTGTTCCCTCACTCGAGAACAAGACCCCGAGATACTTGAACTCCTTCACTTGGGGTAAGGACTCATTCCCTACTTGGAGTGGACAGTCCATCGGTTTCCTGCTGAGAACCATGGCCTCAGATTTGCTTTTAAATGTGCTATATAAATAAAACTTGATTTGATTTGAGGGTCACAATTGACACAATGATCTTCATCCATTTTCAATTATTTAGAACAAACCATCACCACACCCAACGCCCCCTTGAAAAGTTTAATAACAAATAAAACACATTGATTCCACGCTCAGATATAAAAATTAAAAACACAGTGACAAAAAATTATAATTATAACAATAAGTAAAAATCGATCAGTAAGTACAAATATAAATAAGAAGATATGTTAAAATAAATAAATAAAAAGAGAAATATTTCCCGCTATCAGGTCGGGACTCGGGAGTGTTTGGAGGTTGTTCAAATAATCTATCAAGCATTGCCATGTGTCATACAAACTGTCTACAGATCCTCTAAGAGTACAACTCTGCTCTTTTTTGCATGTTAATGTGAAGATAATGACATTATGCAGAAGACGCCTAACTGGTCGTAAAGCCTTTATACTGCCGCTCTGCAGGGTTTGCTGTGTGCTGTGCTGACTGGCTGTTTGGATGGCCGTCTGGCTGGACTGCAGCATGTCAGTGGAGTTGTAATTCTGGTCCTTATCTGTGTAGGGCAGGGTTTAGTGCAAAGTTGTCACTGCATAAGTCATATTGTTTTAACCAGTACAGTATCCCATGATCCTCAAGTTGTCTCATATTCCTAATCCAGTGTTTTACGCACACAAACTTTGAAGTTTATTTTGGCTCCTTTCTCATTCCTCACTTTCTGAATCAGTGCTTATAAAGTGCTTTCACTCCAGAGACAGAGATCAGCCTGCATGTAATGTCATGTCGACCCGTTTTGATGCATCAAATGTTTCTTTGTGTCTCAACAGCTCTTCAGGGAAGTCCGGATAATGAAGTTACTGAATCATCCAAATATAGGTAAGTTCATAGAGCGGCCTGGAGGACAGTTTATCAATAATATTCTCATGTAATTTGGACTAGTGTTACCATTTCAACCAGTACCTTGCACCCAGATTAACCAGTTTTACTCAAAGGATCAAATAAATAATTTCTTTTGAGGTCCTGTATGTATGTATGTGTGTATATATATATATATATATATTTATATGTTCAGAGGGTACCTCAGATATATTGTTCAGGTTCTTTTTATTTTAAAAGGACTAGCAGAATCAAGACAGACCCAATAGTGTGAAGATCTTTACAGTAGCATTAGCTACATGCAAATTCTTGAGGTGAATTTCGATTTTGGAATACATTGGCTTTCTAAAGACTTTATTCAGACTCAGAGATCAGTTTTAATGCAACGAGGGAACTCTAACCCGAACAGTAAACTTGGCTAATACTAATATAGAACCTTCATTGGAAAGAAACAACTTTTTGTTAATATTTCATTTTATTGATTTGTATCTTCTCCTCCTTTTTCCTTCCATTCTCTCAATTCCTCCTGCAGTGAAATTGTTCGAGGTTATTGAGACGGAGAAGACACTTTATCTGGTGATGGAGTACGCCAGCGGTGGTGAGCGAAACACAATGCATTTCCAATAAATCTTTAACATTTGGATAGTTATCTATTTCTTCTTGTTATTTCCACAATATTGGTTGTAGAGCCAGTGAATGCAAATCAGTAGGACACATAGTCAGTACTGTATACCACAAGGTCATGTTGGTTGAAGCTCTCCATCTAATATTCATGTATTCTGTAAACTATTGAAGTACAAACCATGCCATTCGGATGCTTTTAATGAAAAATAACTCATAGTGATGGTGACTACATGATTATAGTAACACTAGTTGTGATAAAAGTGATATATAATGAAAATGATTGATAATGGCATGTTTCCTCTCACTACTCCAGGCGAAGTATTTGATTATCTAGTGGCTCACGGCAGAATGAAGGAGAAGGAGGCGAGGGCCAAGTTCAGACAGGTGAGTCATCAGTATTGCAGCGCTCGCGCCTCTGTCGTCATACCATTCACTGTTTTCAGAGGGAAGACTGCATGCACCAAGATCCAGCCTCGTCACCGACTGCAGAGGAAAGATGGAGCGCAGATAGCGTGGCCTAAGAGAACAGGAAGGCTGAGAACTACTCCCTTAACAAGACGCTGCTCTGACACCTAGTGGTGCCACAAGAGCAACAAGGCATACTCAGCAGCTCAGTAGCATCTCTATTCATAATCTAGCAACATCCACACTGTTCATATTTAAATTCCATCATTGATGTTCTGCGATGACTCAGAGGAACTGTGTGTGACACAGTGTGGGCAGCATGAGTGTGTGTCGCAGTAAAGATAGATCAACATTCAGGAAGGTAAACATGTTTGCGGTGTGGCTGAGAGAAAGCAAGTGGGCGGTATCTGTCAAGGAACAGAGCTTTTTTCTATTTGATTGATGCCATCCGGGCATATGTCGGTGGGTTATAACTGTCAACTGTCATAGCAACTGCTCACAGTGTCACAGGATTACAGGGACCTTTGAATGAAGGACACTTGAAAACTCTTAACATTTGCAGGAGAGAAATACATTTCAAAGGCATTGGATTGATAGGAGGATGTATGTGGAAGGACTTTGGATAGGAGAGGACAATAATCTGATATAGTTTCCTTTTTTAAGAGCAGTCATGCCCTTGTGTATAATTAATTACAATCTTTATAGCAATTGAAAATATTAAAGACATCAGCAGACTAGCTACATTGAATGGAATCTTTGTCAGCATGATGCACGGTAAACATTAGTCGTCCAAGCTTTTGGATGTAAAAGAAGGCCCATTTGAAAATCTCCTGCTACCTCCACAGTGAATCTGAATAACTTTCTTACCTGTGGCTAAAAGTTCAAATACTCTCTGGTTTCGGCTTCTAAACCAAGAGGTGGGCTCTTACAAGTTGGCCATTGTTATGGAGTAAGATATTAAACAAGATCATAATCTGCATATAATAAACAGTAATGCCCATCTTCTATATCTGTTTAATACATCTCTACTTCTGTCACTGTTTTTGAAAAATGCGTTAAAGAGCTTTCTTTCTTAACATTAAATTCACCTGAATGTCCAATGACGTGTGTTTGTATTTCAGATTGTGTCTGCAGTGCAGTATTGTCACCAGAGGAGGATAGTACACAGGGATCTAAAGGTGAGGATGTAGACTCTTGCTCTCTATTAATCCTGATATCTGATTTCTCATGAGTAGTATCCATATCTACAGTAGCATGTATATCTTCAGGAAGCCCTTTATAATTATCTTTCAGTGCTGTTACATTAACTAATGACATTGTGATTAGGGCTGCACGATATGGAAAAGAACTGACATTGCAATATTCTTTTCCCCCTGCGATATATATTGCGTTTTTTAAAACTATATTTAACCGAACGAAGGGTATTAGTCACGGACGTCTGGACCTTAACTGCTTGACTCATTATACCTTAAGTCATGATTTAACATGACATGAATGAAGAAAAGTGGTGTCTAGAAGGGATCCAAGAGATTAAACATATTACATTAAACTATAGGAAGCTTCATTATCACATTAGGGAATTAACATACGTGACCAAATTGGTAATTTAACTTTTTATTCCACAATTAAAACCTTTTTTGTGCAAATAGCAGCAAAGTAGTGGACATCTTTTAAACAACATTATACAAATAAAATTAAGAACAGCTATACACCAGCTCCTGTATGCCGTTTTGAACCTTTCTCATATGGTGTAACACCGGCAAAGGCATCTGAAATAGTTGTTTGCTGTGCATGCAGACTCAGAGCCTGCATGTCACTCTACTCAAGTGCCCCTGACATGAGAGCCGCGCAAGTTTTCCTTTTGTAGCAAGCAGCAAAATAATTGTAACATGACGTGTTTGAGTTCATTTACCTACTTAATATCGAACGCCCTAAAAAAATGTGAATATCGCGCATGCGCATATCGCGGTTATCGCCATGACACGGTATATCGTTCAGCCCTAATTGTGATTGCCTCCTCTCTTCCCATCTCAGGCAGAGAACCTGTTGTTGGACGCAGATATGAACATCAAGATAGCTGACTTTGGCTTCAGTAATGAGTTCACTGTGGGCAGCAAGCTGGACACTTTCTGTGGCTCCCCGCCGTACGCTGCTCCTGAACTGTTCCAGGGGAAGAAGTACGACGGACCAGAGGTGGACGTGTGGAGCCTCGGGGTCATCCTCTACACACTGGTCAGCGGATCACTGCCCTTCGACGGACAGAATCTGAAGGTGTGCACTTGCTCTGGTTCTAGGGTGTATCACTATGTGGACGGAATAATGCATTGCTTTAAAGGTCTTAGAACATTGTTTCTGTTTTAAAGTGTACTTCTGATGAGCCACATTTCACTAGCATAGTAAACAAAATCTCTGCTTTCCACCTCTGGCAAACACATATCGATCGGTATCCTTCGAGTACTTCTAAGGTATCGTCATGTAACACTTCTGTATTTTAAATATTCGGTCTCTCGTTTACTTTATTGAAGCCAGTAGGACGGACAATAATAATAATCCTTCATGATTGAAAAGTCCTGATTGTCAGGATTTTGTTCAGAAAGGGTTCAGACTAAAAAACATTACAATCAAGACCACTTTACGCCACAATGTGTCAGGTGTGTTGAAATGTGAAAGAAGCCCGCGTTTTTTTATTTCACACATTTATCTGTGGATGTACAACCAAGTGCCTGACTGTAAGTACGGTGTGTATACCCCTCTCGCTGATGGCAAGCTTTTTGCCCTTTCAAGTGTGGATGTTAGGAAACGGTAAAAACACTTTTAGACATTTTAAATGACAGCTCCCTAATGCTTTCTGAAGACTTCAACATGTCCTCCACAACTAAGTATGAAAGGAAATGTTCCCTTTCTGTAGAAACGGAAAAGGAATTCAAAGTCCCAATAGAAAAAGTAATAGCGAGTGCTATGAGACTTTTTTAATAATCTAAATATATGAATCATTTTTGAGCTTGAGTTTGCATTGACAGAAATGGCCTAGGTATAAATAACAAGTGCAAAATAAAGTGCTACAGCCTTCTATTTTGTATCTATATGTTATTATTTTAAGTGGAGTAGGAACTAATTTCTAACCAAGATAAGATGTTCAAATGCATACCCAGAGATGAGTTACTTGATTAACTAAATGAAAAATGTGAGTTCCTCTCTGTGTATCTTTTGGAGTTAGACATTGTAGTGCTTTATCCTCCATGCTTTTAATAATGCAGCAGTTTTTGTGAAGCTGCAGTGAATCCAGCAGGTCAAGAAAAGTGTTCTGGGTTAAGAGATCTGTGACCTTTTTTAATGGCTGCGCAAGTGCAACAGCCAAGGCCGGAGGCATTACTTTTTAGGTCTGTCTTTCCGTTCCATTCCAGTTCCAATATTTCAGGAACACCTTGAGGGAGTTTCTTCTTATTTGACGCAAACTTCCACTTGGTTGGAGTCAATGTCAAACTGATTTTGTACGTCAAAAGGCAGAGAGAACATTTTGAGCATTCAGGTCATTGTCTAAAGTTTTACTCCTAAAAACTTTTTTCAGTTTAAAAGGTCTGATAAACACAAGCTTTTAACAGCAGACAAAGAAAGTAAGCAACTAGCTCGAGAATATTATGAAGCATTTAGCTCACAAAGAGATATACTTTCCGCAGGAGTTTACTGAAAAACAGAGCGACAAGGAGTGTGAGCATTGAACCTTGCAACTAAATATGACTCCGAAAAAATGCTTATGGAAACTGTCTGTTAAAATGTTTAGCATAACAAATCTATATTCGATGAATGTGTTATGGCTTGGTCTGCTCTCTCCCCCCAAACATTCATTAATGTTTCTCTTTGCTGGCTTTTGTTGCTGAATTTCTCATTTGGCTTCATGTCTCTCTGTCTATCGTTCGGTGTGCAGGAGCTGAGAGAGAGGGTCCTGCGGGGAAAATACCGTATTCCTTTCTACATGTCCACAGACTGTGAAAACCTGCTGAAGAAACTACTAGTGCTCAACCCTGTCAAACGAGGCAGTTTGGAGGTATTTATCGCAGTTTGCGTTGTCTTCATAGTTCTTTGATCTCACTTCAGGAATGTTTTGCACAGCGGTCGAACAGACGGTCGTAAGGATTTCAAACACGATTGTCGTGCGTCATCTGAAAGCAGTTAATTGCTGCTGTTGTTAATTACCAACCAACAGGGAGAGTGGTCTTACAAAAGTGGTAAATGAAAGCATTCAGAAAGCTATAAAGAACATTTATTAAAACATTGTTAGAAATCAAATGTTTTGTTTAAAATCAATCCTTCTGTGTCGTAGTTTCACTGCTTGCGCGTTTTAAGGGATAGTTTTGACTTGTTTCTGCTTTGAAAACCATACAAAGTTGTCGTTCAATTCACATTCATTCTGTCCAGAGTCGATAACACCCCCGCTCTCAGACCCAGGCTGCAGTTCAATAGTAAAGATTTTTCCAATGATAATAACAATTGATCACACTTTTGTTAGCCCAGCTGATTTCATCAAGAAGTCATTCATTCTCCTCTGTCCGTTGTGCCATTTGCCTGGAAATAACTGTCATGTTGTATTACTAACACGCGTGAGTCATTATTAATTATATGCAATTGTAATTGAACTAATTACACTGGACATGCATAATAAAAAGCTCTGACACCTTGTTTCTTTGTTAGCAAATCATGAAAGACCATTGGATGAATGTGGGTCACGAGGAGGAGGAGCTAAAACCTCACATCGAGCCGGAGACGGACTTCGCTGATTCAACCAGAATAGGTGTGTGGTTTTAGTAAATATCCAAAACGCAATTATACGCAGTTCACTTAATTTTCCATTCCCCCACATCCAGTTTGAAGCTCGTAATTGCCCAAAGCACAAATAATCTTCTTGTCTTAAATGTTGAATATTATTATACTTTTAGTAAGGGTTGATGATATTTATATTAATTTTGTTTTTTAAAGTAAGGAATCTATAAAGAGCTGATTTTGGGGGATGAGAGGACTTAAAGTATATCAGGATTATTCTATGTGACAATGTTGGTTTGTTTTTTAAAATGTCACCCTAAATAATAAAGATGCAGATCAAGGCATTAGGTGGAAGATATAATAATTCCTTATACTTATTATAGCGCTTTTCTTCTTCTTCCATGACCCATTTTTCCATGACCCATATAGATTCAGGGACTCTGATAAAACTAAACCACAGGCAGAATGTCTGTACAGTATGAGCTGCTGGTGTGTGTTGAAAGTGACTCTTTATATCACGTTCAGTAAACACACTGTGATTCACAATGACTTCTATCTGCTGACAGAGCTCATGGTGACGATGGGCTTCCCAAAAGATGAGATCACAGACTCTCTACAAAACACCAAGTACGATGAAGTCATGGCCACCTACCTGCTGCTGGGCAGAAAAGCTCCGGAGGTCAGTTTCCTTTGTCTTACATCATCACCAGTAGTTAAAGCATTAAGTCATGTGACCACACCCCTCATCCTGTGTCTCCATGTTTCAGTTCGAGGGGAGTGAACCTCTGAGCAACAGCGTCCTGGGTCAGCGGCAGCGACCGACCAGCGACATCAACAACAGCTCCAGCATCTCTCCGGCCCATCCCAAGGTCACACGCAGCATCTCGGCCACGCAGAAGCAGCGCCGCTACAGTGATCATGGTGGGGATGATGATGGTGGTGGTGGTGGGGTCGTAGAGAAGCCAAGTAAAGTAACCTCATCCTTCCCAGCTCTGAGAGTGCGGCTGGCTGCATGCTGTGTAGGGGGAAGTTGCTCTCAGTCACTGAGGAGGATTGGCCACTTTGCAGAGCTCAACTGGTGCTCTCACTTTTAATAGCTGAATAAAACTTCAAAATGCAAAGTTATCCTCAATAAATAAAACTGTTATAGTAAAAGAAAACATGTAGATCAAACCTAGACAACCATTTGCTAAATGGTTATTTTCATAATCCCTGCATTCAAATGATATCAGTGACTCAACCTCAACACTGCACAGGTTGTGGAGCAGCTTCCTCCTATGTCATGTGGGGCCATTGTGTCTGGCGCCATCTGCTGGCTGGCTGCGTTCCTGCAGCTGCCTGAGGAACAGCACCTCAAAGCATGAGGAGGGACGGCTTCGCTTTGTACCTGCTTCCCTTGGCTTCAGTAGCTGTACGACTTGTAAAACAATGTGTTGGTGACGTGTGTTGATCTGATAGATTGAATGATAATCTGGGCTTTAAGTGGCTTTGCTTGACGCTATTGTAACGAAAGCTCTGTCCTTGTTTGTTCTGTTTTGTCTGACAATTATATAAGAGGTGTTACAGTGATATGTTCAGTGGAAGCTTTGTAAGTGTGTTCATATGTGTGTCTCTAGTAGTCGGACCGGCTGTGCCCCCGGCAGTATCGTACACGAAACGTGGCCAGGCCCTGAGTGTGGAGAGCGACCACAGGGAGGAGTGGGACGGAGCTCGCCGGCTGGAGCTCAACACCTCGAAAGGAGACGTTCCTGCTTCGCCTCTGGGGGTGCAGGAGAGGAAGAAAACTACAAGTGCTGTGGGGGTGAGTAAGGGCAGGACACGTGGCTACATAAACAAAAAGCACCATAACTAATATATGTTTAGATAAGTACATTTTTAGTTTTACATTCTTTTTGCCTCATCATTGCTCTCTTTTCTTATAAAACAGACCAATGGATCAATGACTCGCAGGAACACATATGTGTGTGAACGAACATCTACTGACCGCTATTCAGCTATTCCCAATGGCAAAGACAGCAGGTAAACAAGTACACATCCACACAGATACCTTTTCTGTCTAACTTTAAAGCCGTTATTACAAAACCCCATTGTACGATATTGTTCTGAAATATCTTGCTCCTTGGTACACAGTTTAACCGAGGTGTCGGGGAGCACCTCATCGACTGCGATGAGCTCGACAAGACCTCGTCACAGCAAGTCCATGTCGTCGTCAGGGCATCCTTCAAAGAGCACACTGCCCCCCATCGACGACAACACAGAGCTGAAATCCAGGTGAGCAGCTTGATCTGCAATACATGTGTATTCTTTGTATGTAAAAGTACATTTGGGCCACAGTATGATAGTATGCTTTACTTCCAGATAACAGTATTTAAAGCAAGCAAGCTAACACAGAATCCTTTGACACATGTAGTGATTCTTCCTGTTTACGTTGCAGCTCCTCTCCGCGGGGTCCCTCCACCTCTCCGTCTGCACACAGTATTAGCACCCCAGAGAAGAACCGGTTCCCCCGGGGCACAACCAGTCGCAGCACCTTCCACGGAGCTCAGCTCAGAGACCGGCGCAGTGCCACCTACAACGGCCCCCCGGCCTCCCCCACACTGTCCCATGACACGGGGGCTCTCGCTCAGCAACGCAGGGGCACCTCGACCGGGATCATCGGCAAGATCACCTCAAAGTTTGTTCGCAGGTCAGTGAAAACAAACCGGGTTTTATTCACCACAGTTAAGGTGTAGATACATTGTCTTTGGCATTGAAGTGTAAGCCGTCATGAGCGCTCCTCTTTTGAAGAAATGTATTTCTTTGACTACTTAGTCCGACAAAATCATGGAAGTTGTTTTATATAACTGTCTGACATTATGACTAATCTTTGCTTACAGATATTACACTTAATGTCAGTTGTATTAGCTCTACTCGATCGAAAGAAAAGCCCATTTAAACTGTTACATAGCTCCGGTCCAACTAATCTCTACAAGTTTTGCAATTTAACATTTTTAATGTATGTCATCTGCTTTCATTGTTGAAAACATTCTCTTTACATGCATCCACAATATGAATCTGAACACTTTTTTATATCTATAGCTATACAAAGTAAAGCGGAAACTGATGGCAATAGTTTTTAAGGTATTTACTGTAGTCATAAACACTGGACACATTGAATATCTGATGGCTAAAAGATCAGTCATGGATATTTGTATATCTTTGGTTTAGTATACACAATTCTACATATTTCTCTCAGTGAAACAAATACAGAATCACAAGCTCCCTGCAGCTTCAGCAGATACCATCTTTGATCTCCTTCCAATCTTTAGTGCTCCTTATACATTAGGGCTGCAACAAACGACTCATTTGATAATCCATTAATAAAACATTCGGATCGTTAAGGTTTTAACTGTACTACTACTTGTATCAATACTGCTTATCGATGCGGTCCTTTAACGATAATCTTAACGTTTCTTTTGAAAATAAATAAGGTAAATTAATTAAACAAATTGTGAACAAAATGAACATAGCTTTTTATTTAAATTAAATAAATAAATTTCACATCAAAAGAACCAAGTGTTTTAACAAATCGTATTAATAATGTGATGAAAGGAACTGTAAACAACAATGTTTTAACAAATCGTATTAAATAAATAACTCTGTTACCTCTAATCATTAACCTATGTTTGTATCATTGAGTTCACTGTGTGTTGCTGTTAGTATACATACATAACACCTGACGTGGAAACGTTACTCGTGGATGGGGCTACAGAGCTACTAGAAAGACAGTCGAACCCGGTGCATTTCTCCGTCTGAATGTGCTGCACTTTTGCTAAATGTTTAGACAAATTGCTCGTGTTACCGCCCTTACATGCTAAACTCTTATTGCACTTTTGGTAACGAGCATTGTCCACGTCGAGACGGGTAAAGTTTAACCACACCTCGGAGCACGTTCTCTCCGCCATCTCCGCAGTGTGTGTGTGTGTTGCATGCATGTAGCAGCTGCGTGTGTGTGTAAACTGCCCCGCCCCCTCGCACACAGACGGAGGGGAGAGATCTCTCGTCGGGTTGGAAAGATAAAAAATACATCATAGACGCATTTTGTAGTCTTATTGCATATTAGAAACGGAGTTGGCGAAACTAAGACTGCGATATAATGTTTATGTAGCAATAATACATATGACATATGTTTTAAATGTCTCCTGTACCGATAGAAAAGAGCGATAACGTTGGAGCTTAACGGGGTGTAGAACACATGTGACGTCACCAACGAATCGACGACTGAATTAGTTGCCAACTAATTTGGTAATCGATTAAGTCGATTAGTTGTTGCACCCCTAGACTGGGGTGAACAGTTTAGCAGAAGTAACGCAAGAGGAAATACTCCTATGCTGATACAGGCGGCCATTTCTTAGTTTTCCATCTGACAGGGCAGACAAATATTCCTCAAGTACTCTGTGTATGTGTGTATGTGTGTGTGTGTGTGTGTGTGTGTGTGTGTGTGTGTGTGTGTGTGTGTGTGTGCGTGCGTGCGTGCGCATTTACCCATTGTGGTCCTCTCCAGACCAGATGTCGTCTTCATAGAAAACGTCATCATGACTGTTCCTGGACACCAAGTTGAATACCTCAGAAAATCTAGAAAGACACAAAAAACAACAATAAAAAGTATGAAATAGTAAAAAAAAATGTAACAGTTTGAGTCACACTACAATTTCCTTTTATTTTAAACATATGCTATTTTGAACACTCCCTCTGGAGGGATCTTTGGGATTGTTTGCACACCATAACACCATGAGTGCATAACACACTACAGGAAAGGGAAAACCCCAAAAAGCATAGGTGACCTTTAATCTAGATCTGCAACGAAATCCCTTTGAAACCTGCCTGCATGTTTTAAGATGTACTTTTTAAACCCATTTCCAATCGATAGGAGTTTCTCAGAGTTTCTAACACAACTGAAGAATGGAGGATTCATGTAACGGCAGCATGGTGATAGATGAATAGGGATGGAACAGTATTCTTTTTCTCACACAGGATTTGTTTGAATGTTTTTTTACCTGTCCAGGTATTCGGCCAGCAGTTCCTCCACAGCATTAGAGTAGAGCCACTCCTTCTCCGTCTTCTTGGTGTACCCAGGAACCTCCTCGTTCTTCTTGTTGAACTTCAGGTTCAGGCCAACGTTTGCTTTCTGCTCGCCACAGGGACTGCAAACAAGGAAGTAGAAAGATATTGGTGCACAGAAAGAAAGAAAGTTCTCCTCAATAGAACAAATCTACTTTTAGATACAGAGTTTAAAGAAGTTAACAGCAGGAGTGGGCGATGTGGAACGGGCTGCTGGGATTTTTATTTTCAGAGACAAGCAGGCCATTGGAGTTTCAATTCTAAACATATTTTCAAGAAAGAACATTGACATTTCAGAATAGCGAAACGTGTGAAAACTACCGTGTATGGTCCATTTCTCCACTTACTTCCTCTTAGAGCCTCGGCCAATGAAGATGCTTCCCGAGAAGCGGGAGACGAGGTAGCTGGTGATGCCGAGACGAGAAGCCAGAATGTATCCGGGACTGTACTTCACACAGTACTTCTACAGAATACAACAGTGCACACGTGAGGAAAGTATTCTTGACACTACATCTCATTTCTTTGGCTTTGCAGGAGTGAAGGTGTTTCTTACATGCTGATTCTGTATTAAGGGCTCCAGCTGTGGTTCGTGTGGCACGTTGAAGACCACTCGTACACGGCCTTCGTTGATGACATCACTAGAGTCCTGCACCTGTTGGATAGTAATAAAAGAGATTTGGGACTTGATATTGAATATTCCTGTACATTTTGTAATCTACAAGAAGAAACTATCGGCCATTAATTTATGAATGTGTATTGTAAAATATTGTGGTATGATGTAGAATGTTTTATTAGAAGAAAGACGGGACAAACGGTTCATACAATTAAATTAAAAAAATGTTTTAAAGTAATAAAAGAGATGGCGTGATTCAGGAGGAGACATTGTCAACATGTTGGCTTCCAAAAAGAATTGACGTTACCAAAAGAACATGTTGCAAGATTAAAAGCTATACGATTGGAGTATCACATCATTATCTGAGAGAGGACGTACTTTCTCTACTGACTGAAGCTGAGAAGTGATCACATACCTCGCCCATGGCTCCATAGTAAGGGTTCCCCACCATGAAGACATTTGTTGCTGGAGGGAAAAGCTCGTCTAGGCTCCTGAAGCAGCTCTCAGACGAGCAAAAGGCCTCGATGTCCTGAGGAGAGAAACGCAAGTGAGGAATATGAGTGAGAAAGCAAGAGTATTCAGCATTATCACTTAAGATGACAATGTCACTCTAAATTATTCTACCACGTCCGTACATTAAATATCAGGGTTCATACATTTTTACACCAATGATTTTCAATGACTTCTCCATCTTTAGCTAATTTTCCATGACCGAAAAAGATGACTCTTTCTCAGCGGTACCACTGAAAATGGTTTATTTTAACATGGAACAGGAAAATAAGGTCTGCATATGAAACATGTTGTGCCTATCTAAAACAAATCAAATAGCTTACTAGCTTCACGCTAACGCCACTAAAATCTCTCACCAGCAAAACACCTCGTCAGTTAAATGCC